ATGATTCTATGATTCTACAGTGCAGATCCACCCCAACAAAGGTAAAATGCTTTTATTTGGACTACAATTGGCAGGTTTTAACTATACAACACCTAAATGTTTTTCAAGATGTCATAGTACAGGGACTTCTTCAGAAATTCAGTCTTTTCTGCATAAAAAAAGGGCAGTTAGCCTTTCACAGTACATGGACAACCTGGATCTTAAGAGAAATTACTTCTCCATTGCTAATTGAGTTGAAATTCCATTACTTATTTTTTACTGTCCCCAGTCCCCACATGGCCAAGAAAAAAAGTAGACCATCGTAAGTGACAACAGAAAAACATCTAAGATGAAATGTAGACCGATTCTAACATCATACCTTTTTTTTTGTCCTGTATGATTTTTAACATCTTTACCTGGTGAAGAAGCCAGTGAAGCTTCAAAAGCTTGCACAATGTATTTTGTGCATTTTGATTGGCCAATAAAGGAAATCCTCTTTTGTGGATTTCAAATTTTGCTGTATTTTGCTGAATTGCTAATGCAGCTACCCCCGAATATGTTTCATAAATATGCAAAGTAGCAGGAATTTGAGCAGATTGAAGAGTTCCAGAAGAGTGCGGAGAGGTGCAAAATGTGGGCAAAATAGTACCATCCTTGGTTATCCCAAAATGCAAGTGTTTGAAAAACCATTTTCACCAAGCTATGTGTCGTTTTATAGACCTCTGCTTTGTGTGCTTACCCCTTACTTGTTTCCCCCAACAAAAAAAGATAGAGCTTCAACCTCTTATAAAGGGAAATGCCAAATTTTAATGGGTTCTTTCTGTATCGTCTCACCTTGACAATAATTTAGAAATGGATGGTGATGTTTAGAAATGGCAAGATCAGAACTGTTGTCCAAGTATAACTACAACACAGACATGTTTTCCAGGTAGGGATTATTCACATTTAATTTTTGCAAGATTTTTTTTAAAAAAAAAAAAAGGATAGGAGCAGGGTTTTAAAAATAAATGTCTGAGCTGCAGTTCAAGGATGAGATGGAGGTGGATCAGATACTAATCTAAAATGCAGTGTGTGAGTGTCCCATGTCAGTGATTTCTGAACTGAAAAGCAAGATTCTATGGTGATTTATAAAAGTAAAGCTATATCTGTATATCTGTATATTTAGTCGGGCGGAGCACAGGTAGATCCATCATGAAATAAGTTTTGTATGTTTTAAGGATGCTATCACAATATTCAGCTGAGTTAGTAGTCAAGAAGCACTAAGAACGGAGGATTATAGAAGCAGGCCAGGTAAAACCCATGTTAGACAGCTACTGGCAAATGTACATTCTATCGCAGTTCTATTCTATTGCAGGTGGGTAATGCATTGCCATTCAAATGTTGTTAGATCCCATTAGTCCCAATCAACATAAGCAAGGGTGAGGTATGAAAAGAGTTGAAATGCAATGCCTGGGCAGCCACAAGTTGGAACACCAAAACTTCTGAATGCAGTAATTATTCCATTTAATTTGTGATCTGAGATATGATGAGACAAAGAATAAAATTTCTTTGAGGCAGAATAAGGATGTTTCCAATTAAAAATGGCTGACAAGTCAGGCCAATATTTTTCTTTCTAGGAGCCCTCTACTGGGAGAGGAAACAGTATTTTAATGCTGTATTCTCATCAGCAAGAGGAGTCACAAATTACAAAGCAAAGTGCCAAAGGAATGATGACTTACATTCATAATACAGTTGTCATTTTTTCTGGCCACAGATGCCAGTATCCATGACTTGAAAATATTCCAAAAATATATAAATTCCAAACAGCAAACCTTGATTTTGCCATTTTATATAAGGGACACCATTTTACTCCCCCACTGTATTTAATGGGACTCCAGCATCCATGGATTTTGGTATCCATGGGGAGGGGAGTGTCCCCAGTGGATACCAAGGGTCCATTGTATAAACCTAAAACCTGAATACTGTATTCCATTCATTCATCTGAGGCAGTTATAATCCATTAAAACCCACACCCAAATAAATCTATTAAATCTGAAGGACTGTGTAAGACTCTTCCCCACCTCTTTTTTTTTTTCTTTTAAAGTTACATCCAGGAGGAAAGAGATGCTTTGTCATGTCTTGTGAACTATCCAAAAGGGATACCTGTTGGCAACTTTCCTTTTATCAAGAACCTTCTGTAGATTAACAGAAGAACAACCCCATGGCTATAGTTTTTATGGGTTTTTTGGGCTATGTGGCCATGTTCTAGAAGATTTTCTTTCTGACCTTTCACCAGCATCTGTGGCTGGCATCTGGTATCTGTGGCTGGCAGAATTTTCTCTGAAGATGCCAGCCACAGATGCTGGCAAAACGTCAGAAAGAAAATCTTCTAGAACATGGCCACACAGCCCGAAAAACCCACAAAAAAACTATGGATGCTGGCCATGAAAGCCTACAAACCCCATGGCTATTTGGACCTTCTCTTTGACTGCAGAAGAAGTTAAAAGATCGAAAGTCCAAGCATTTTTAAAGTAATAGTTGTATGTCAAAATGGCTTTTGGCCACCCAGTAGAAACAAATGAACACTTCCAATTTAATCAGTGAAGTGCAAGATTTCCACCCATTTCAATGCCTTTAATGCGAACCAAGAATAAAAATAATCTGAAAATATTTGTACTCCTAAGTCAGATCTTTAAATCGTTTTCTCTTAAGGTTTGTGAACAGTTTTAGAGCATTCTTTTTTTAATTCAGGTACATAATATCCTAATCCAAAATGCTTGGGACCTGAAGTGTTTTGGATTTTGGAATATTTACATGTACAGAGATGAGACCCAATCCAAACATGAAATGAATTTATGTTTTGTATACACCTTATACACATAGCCTGAAGATAATTTTATATACACTATTTTTGATAACGTTGTCCATGACAGACAGTTTGTGTACACTCAACCATCAGAAAATAAAGGTGCCGTTATTTCAACCAGCCATGTGGACAATTCTGTATTTTGGATTTTGAAATTCCAGAAAAGGGAGATTCAATTTGTATTTTTATTTGTTTGTTGGTTGGTTTTTTGGTGATAGGCAGGATTATGAAAATATCTAGAATAGTGATGCATATTTTCAACTTTGCATTGACTCCCTCTTTTAATCACGCACGCACACTTTCAATGCACTCTTGTCAGGATTGTATACTCTTGGGAAATTCCCACTCAGGACCCTTTGAATAGAGGAATGGACAATGCAACAATGCAGCCAGGGAATCACAGAATCCTAGAGCAGGAAGAGACCTCAAAGGCCATCCAGTCCAACCCCTGCCATGCAGGAACTCACAAACAAAGCCCCCAGTTTTATGGGGTCCCTCCTTCAAAGCCTTGCTGTGGGGAGTCAGCCAGGTCTGGGGCGCACAAGGGCTCCCCCAAACGAAGAAAAGCCCCGCCGTTTTAGCCAGAAGAGAAGTGGATTGAGGGTTGGACTAAGAAGAATCTGAAGAGAGCAGTTCGAATCTAGGCTCAGGCATGGAAACCCACTGGGAGGCCTGAGGCAAGTCACACTCTCTCAGCCTCACGAGGGTGGCAAGGGCAAGCCTCCTCTCAACAAATCTAGCCAAGAAAACCCCAGGATAGGATTGCCTTAGGGTCGCCATAAGTCAGAAATGGCTTGGAGGCACACAACAACAACAACACAACAGCAATAACAGCTGCAGGCTGCGGCTGCCTCAGGTGGGACCTGGCTGCTCGACACCGGAGTCAAGCCTTCCGACGAACAGTGTAAAGCAGCCGGCTTCCTTGGGGCTGGCCCAAGAAGTTTTGAAGGGGACACCCGGTACCCCCACCATTGTTGCGGTTGTGTGTGCAGGGAGACCCATGGGGTTTCCTTGGCACTTTTCTCCAGGGGAGGTGGCCACCGCCTTCCACTGAGGCTGAGAGAGTGTGACTTGCCCAAGGTCACCCAGTGGGCTCTAGGGCTGAGCTGGGAGTCGCCACGCTGTCTCTCCGGCTGGCGCTTAAGAAACATAAGGGCTGGGATCCAGTTAAGTTAGGCCCTTTGCAGACTGCTAGAAATAGTGCAAATTGAGTCCACTTTAAGGGTTAGGGAATCATGGGAACTGTATTTGGTTGGGAACTGACAGAGAAGGCTCAATGTCTCAGAAAAAACAACAACCCAATTCCCATGATTCCCTAGCACTAACCCTAATCCTTAAAGTGGACTCAATTTGCACTATTTCTGGCAGTCTGCAAAGGCCCTCAGTTTTAACTAGAGCATACCCATTCAAGCAACTGCTGAAGGATGAGTAAAAGTAAACCTTACTTTACTACTTTAAGGGCTAACTTGTATTTAAGGTCAAGGCTCGCGCTTTAATTTGGGGGGTGGATGGATGGGGTTGTATGCCTTCAACGTGTTTCCGACTTAGGGCGACGACCCCCATGGGAAGCTTTCCCAAGGTTTTATGGGGCTGAGAGAGTGTGATTCGCCCAGTGGGCTTCTGTGACTGAGTAGGAAGTCGAACCCAGACTTCTGGGGTCGTAGTCCAGCGCTCCAACCACTACACCACACTTCCATCTACCACCGGCCGCCGAATTCACAGTGTTGCCTGAAACTGTGCCTTGCTGTGAATACTAGTTTTCTCCTCACAGCTTTAATTGGTGGCCCTGGGGCTCCGTTTACTCGCCCGGCGACTGAGGGGACTCCCAGAGACGCCTTAATGCACATTTTAAGTCACTCCTGAGGAGGGAAAGCCTGAGACTTTGGGCCTTTACAGACTGCCAGAAATAGTGCAAATTGAGTCCACTTTTAGGGTTAGGGTTAGTGCTAGGGAATCATGGGAATTGTATTTTTTTCTGAAACATTGAGCCTTCTCTGTCAGAGAGCTCTCGTGCCACAATAAACTACAGTTCCCATGATTCCCTAACCCTAACCCTTAAAGTGGACTCAATTTGCACTATTTCTGGCAGTCTGCAACCCCCTTTTCCCTCCTTTCAAGCAATAACTGCGACTTAAAAGAGAAGTTTATGCGGGTCCAAAAAAGTGGAACCGAACTTAGGTGCGTCCGCACTGGAGAAATAATCCGGTTTAAGACGACTTTTAACTGCCCCGGTTCCATGGTATGCAATTCTGGGAATGGTAGTTGGTCGTGGCACCAGAAGCAAAGCCAAGGCAGTTAAAAAAAGTCGTCTCGAACCGGATTCTTTCTCCAGGAATAGGGTAAAAGCTCAGCAAGATCCTCCGGAGCAAGTTCTGGCGCCTGAGCCTCGAGCCTTTTAGGCTGCATGTCCGCACTGGAGAAATAATAGGGGTTTCAGGCGACTTTTTAACTGCCCTGGCTCCATGGTATGGAATTCTGGGAATGGTAGTTTCCAGAATTCCATACCATGGAGCCAGGGCAGTTGAAGTCGTCTCAAACCAGATTATTTCTCCAGTGCGGACGCAGCCTTTAGTGCACCTTCTAATGGTTTGTTGTTGTTTTTTTAAAAAAGAAATAATTAGAAATACAGGGACAGCGAAAGTCAAAATGAGCGAGGAAATAGGAGCAGAACCTTTGAAAGCGGCACTTTATTTAAGATATATAATATGTATTTATCCCGGTAAAGTAATTCCTCTGAGTAGATCCACCTGAGCAAGTTCTGGCGCCCGAGCCTCGAACCTTATAGGCTGCATCCGCACTGCAGAAATAATTCAGTTTCATACCACCTCGCATCTGTAGTTTGCAGCAGCACCAGAGCCCTCCAACAGAGAAAGCTCCAGGGCCCACAAAACTACAATCCCCATCGCATTGAGTCATTGGCGGCTGTATCCGTATTTGCAGAAATAATGCAGCTTGACACCGCCTTAGCGGCCACTGCTCAACGCTATGGAATTCTGGGATTTGTCGTTTTGTGAGAGATTTAGCCTCCTCTTGACAGAGGCGCCAAATACTTCCAACTAGGGCCAGCCGAGTCCCCTCGTTTGGAGACGAATTCTTGGGGCTCCCACACAGAGAAATCTAGCACGCTGCCTTCTCGGACACGGACACGGATCTAGAGATTCCAGGATGAGACCAGACCCGGATCTAGTGATCCCACAGGCACAGATCTAGAGGTCCCGAGAGAAGATCGGACACGAGTCTAGTTAGCCCAGGAGGAGATCAGACCCGGATCTAGTGATTCCAGGAGGAGGAGAAGATCAGACCGTAATCCCAAAAGGAAAGCAGACCAGGATCTAATGATCCCAGGAGACCAGACAAGGATCTAGTTAACCCAGGAGGATATCGGACACAGATCTACTGATCCCAGGAGGAGGAGATCAGACCGTAATCCCAAGAGGAAATCGGACCCGGATCTAATGATCCCAGGAGACCAGACAAGGATCTAGTTATCCCAGGAGGAGATCGGACACAGGTTCTAGTGATCCCAGAAGGAGGAGCTCGGACACGGATCTGGTGATCCCAGGAGGAGATCGGACACGGATTCTAGTGAACCCAAAAAGAGGAGATCGGGCACAGCTCTAGTGATCCCAGAAAGAAGAGACCAGACACGGACCTAGTGATCCTACAAGGGGGAAATCGGACACGCATCTAGTGATCCCAGAAGGA